CCTCCTTCAAATAAATAAATATTTAATAAAGATTATAGGTCATGACAAGTCGCACTCAATAGGATGAGAACTGGATTATAGTGGTTGCAGTGACTTTGTAAGAATTTGAGTTGTTTTACTTTGGAGAATGAGACAGCTGGGTTTAGTTTTGCACATGGAGCCGTTGTCTTGGATTTCCAGGGTACTTCTGAAGCTGGGTTTATGGGAGGAAATGTGCATGGGAGAAGAGCACCCAGGGGGTGGGCTGCAGAGGACATTCAAGGGAGGGACTTCGACGGACATCTATTCCTGCATTCTCGACACCCACCGCCCCTTCCTCTGACAGCAATACCCAGGCTTTTCTTTAGAGAACTGTCTCTTCGTTCTCAGCGATGTGCCTTGGCCACACCCCCAGCTGCACGGGCGGCTGTGGATGAAGTCCTTCATACAGAATTTAGAACATGTATTCTGGCCCTTGGGGTTGGTTTTGGGATAAGCTCACGCCCTGCTGAAGCCTGGTAAGAGTCAGCATTGAGAGTTTTGCTGACACAGTTAGGAAAGAGACCACAGGTTGAGCATTTCTGATCCAACTTTGAGTGCTGACATGATGCCACAAGTGGAAAATTCCATACTATGAAACAAAATTGTTAAAAACATTATATAAAATTACCTTCAGACTACATATATGAGGCATATTATGAAACAAATGAATTCCACGCTTAGACTTAGGTCCCATTCCCAAGATACCTCATTATGTATATTCAGATATTCCCAAATTTATAAAATCCCCAGATCTGAAAAACTGCCAATCCTAAGCATTTCAGATAAGGGATATTAAACCTGTAGTCATTTTTTATTGCCAAACTGGTAGAATAAAAATCTGGAGCTACAAGTAGGCATCTTTGACATTGATTAGTAAAAGCCTGCCTGAGAATCAAGCTACCATAAAAAATAGCAAGAAATAGACTTATTGATGATAACTTGGGCTCCTGGATCCAGCCGTGTTTGACTCTAACCTTGGATTGTCAGTTACCTAATGCAATAAATTATCTTTATGGTTTGAGGTAGTTTGGGTAGTGTTTTCGGTCATTTTGCAGCAGAAAGAATTCCCTCTAGAGTATGAGCAAGTCTCTTGGACTCCTTTTGCAGATGGCTGAAATAAAGTTTATGGAAGGTAATGACTTCCCGAAGACCATGTAACTATTTGGTGGCAGAGCTTCATATAAATTGTGTCTCCTGGCTCCTGGGCTGTGAAGCTCTTCTCCTGCCACAGATTAGCTAAAGGACCAGCGCTGTGGGAGTTCACAGTGAGGAGAGATGGTTCCCAACTGAGAGGAGCAGGAAATATTTTACAGAGAGAATAGCATAAAAACTAGGAAGGGGGGCTGGCACTGAGGCGTAGTGGTAAAGCTGCCGCCTGTAGTGCCGGCATCCCATATGGGCGCCAGTTCAAGACCCGTCTGCTCCACTTCTGATCCAGCTCTGCTATGGCCTGGGAAAGCAGTAGAAGATGGCCCAAGTCCTTGGGCCCCTTCACCTGTGTGGGAGACCTGGAGGAAGCTCCTGGTTCCTGGCTTCGGATGGGCCCAGCTCCGGCTATTGTGGTCATTTGGGGAGTGAACCAGTGATTGGAAGACCTCTCTCTCTCTCTCTCTCTCTCTCTCTCTCTCTCCTGGGAGAGAGAATAAGAGGAGGAGAGGAAACAGCGCAAGGAAAGGAAAACAAAACCAAAAGGCCATGGAGGAGAGAAATGAGGACGATCAGGACAGGTATTGTGATGCAGTGGGTTGACATCCTCATGCCATATTGGAATGGGCTTGAATTGTGGCTACTTTATTTCCAATCCATCTTCCCAAGCTCCCTGGGAGGCAGCTGTGATGGGCCCCTGACACCCATGGGAGAGAGTCATATGGAGTTTGGGGTTCCTGGCTTTGGCCTGGACTAGTGTCCTAGCTGTTGCGGGCATTTGAGGAGTTAATTGGCAGATGGAAGATTCTCGCACGCTCTCTCTCTCTCTCTCTCCCCCTGCCTTTCTCCCTTTCCCCCTCCCTCCCTTTCAAATAGATGAAAACAATTAGTATCAGTAAAAAGGAACAAAGAAAAAGAGAGGGAAGAGAAGAGAACTAGATCAATATTTAAGTTCTGGTTATGTGTTTTCGACACTGGATCAAATGCTTCATGCTGTTTTTAATTCTCATGCAATGTAACCGGGCATTTCTATCCCCATTTTACTAATGGTGTTTTGCCAAAGATCACACTGTAAAGCCCAGGGCTCCGGCCCAGGTGGGCCTCTTTTCTGAGCCTTGTCAACTCCATCGCTGGGATCTTCACCTGCAGAAAAACAGAGGCGACATGTGAGTCAGTTCTACAAGAACAGAAGTACTTTCAGCAGAGTTAGCCAGGCTTGTTATCACATTGGCTTGGTTCATCAGTGAAAGAAGCGGCTGTGAGCCACCATAAAAGTAGCCTTAATAAAAAAAAATGGGGCTCCTGAGACAAACAGTTCCAGAGACGGCCTTGGGAAATGGGGAGTAAACCGGTTCACAGAGAAAGCAGTTAGCTACTAACCAGATACGGGCAACAGAACATCCTGCTATGTAGATAAGTCCCCTCCCCTGTGCTTGTTCAAGCTTAACAAAAAAAAAAAACCGCGAGGCATGTAGGGCACGTAGCCACCCCTTTCTGCTCTTCAATGACCCCCTCCCCTTATCCAAGCTTCCGTTTCTCCTCCTCCTCGACGACCTCCTCCCCTTGTAGTTGCCCAATAAACTTACGCCACCCTATGGTATGTTAATTTTGTGGTTTTGCCCCTTAAAAGCTGTGTGAGATAGCTGCTCGGGGCTCCTCTCGCTTGCTTGCTGCTTGCAGCAGTAGAGGGCCCATTTGCGCAAATGAAATAAAATTACCTCCTGTTCTTTTGCATCGTCTGGTCTGGAGTCTGTGTTTCTGGGGTCATCACAAAAGGACACCGCTTTTGGGGTCCTACAATCAGGTTTGCTCTTCAGAAGTTAGCAAAGACACTGCTTTTAGCTTCAAAAGTTCTCTATAGGGCCAGCACTGTGGCATCCCGGGTAAAGCTGCTGCCTGCAACGCCTGCATTCCATATGGGCTCAGGTTTGAGTCCTCGCTGCTCCATATCCTATCCAGCTCTCTGCTAATAGCCTGGGAAAAGCAGAAGTTGGTCCAAGTGCTTGGGCTCCTGCACCCACGTGAGAGACCTGGAGGAAGCTCCTGGCTTTGGCCTGGCCCAGCCTTGGCCATTGTGGCCATCTTGGGAGTGAACCAGCAGATAGGAGATATCTCTCTCTGTAACTTTGACTTTAAAATAAATAATTAAATCTGTTTTTAAAAAAGAGTATCTATAATGTATTTATTTATTTGGTGATAAGTGAGGTAGCAAAGTTCCATATAGAGAAATGTTCCAGACTTCAGGCTGGAGTTTTTATGGATGTGACTATGAGTCCCTCCTCCCCCGCATTTCTCCTCCCCTTCCCTTTCTGGAATATTGCTGGGTGGAGGGAGGGCTTCCTGGCACAGAATTCCTGACATTCCTCCCAGCACAGTGTTAATGGACCTGACAGTCCCTTTGTTGTGGGGCAGGTGTAATGGATTATTTTACCAGGATGGAAATGCTCTGTGATGTTCCTTCCACTGAGAAGTGTGTCCCCTTGAATCTGGGTCAAGGTTAACAACTACCTTGAACAATAAAATAATGATAATGATGATTTTGATAATTATCTTATTAATGACAATAATAATAGGAAAAGGAGGAAGAGGAAGTGGAAGGGAGGGGGAAGAGCTGGTAGAGACGCCTTGCCAGTGTCTAGGCCTGAAGGGATGACAGCTCCCACCTTCTGCTCCTGCGGACGTGTGGTTTTGGAGCCCCGCGCCATGAGTCTGATTATTCTGTGGGATAGGCCAGGTGAGAGGCCCAGAGACTATGTGGAAAGAGAGTGCAGTCCAGCCACACCCACGCAAGCCCCAGACAGGGGTGCAGACTTCTCAGACTCTCCAGGACAAATCAGGGACCAGCCAAACACCAGCTGGAGCAGTGTTGCCCCGCTGACCTCCACCCTACTCCTCCAGGGATCAGGAGCCTAAGGAAAAGATCGCTATATGAAACCACTGCATTCCGGTGTTTTGTCACATAACAATAGACAGCAAGGAGAGCGGCCCCAGATAGTCTGGAGAGGATGGAGAAGAGGCTCGGGGGAGTCTTCATTTGAGAGAAGGAACGTCAACAGCATCGCGCTCCTCCTTGACATAGTCACGGACCCACGATGGTAGGGAAGATGTAATTGGAGGGCTCACCGCCCCCCACCCCCGCACCCAGCAGTGCCGCGGAATTCGGAATGAAGGCCGCCTCCCTGCAGGTGTCCCTGGCAGGAGCCACTTCAGCACGTGGGCTGTGTGAGCTCCTTTTATCATTTTGGAAGGGCCTTCTCCCCTAGCTTCCGGGAGAGTCCCAGCCTGAGATGAGCAGGCGCAGGACCTTTGTCACCCTACCTGGAGAGTGGGGTGCACTTCCTCCAGGCCCCTGCCCTGCCACGAGCAGCAGGGATGCTGCGGGAGGAGGCTCTGGCTGTGGCAAGGACAAGCACAGCAGATGCCAGAGAAATCTCTGCCCCAAGGAGATGGCCGTCTTTCCATGCTTTGTTTCATTTTGTTTTTAAAGATTTACTTGTTATTTTATTTGAAAGGCAGAGTTACAGAGAGGCAGAGAGAGAGAGAGAGAACTTCCATCCACTGTTTCACTCCCCAAGTGGCTGCAACGGCTGGGGCTGGGCGAGGCCAAAGCCAGGAGCCAGGAGCTTCTTCCAGGTCTCCCATGTGGGTGCAGGGGCCCAAGTATTTGTGCCATCTTCGGCAGCTTTCCCAGGCACATTAGCAAGGAGCTGGATTGGAAGCGGAGCAGCCGAGACTCAAACCGGCACTCATGTGGGAGGCAGGCACTGCAGGCACAGGCTTGCCTTCTGTGCCACTGCACTGGCCCCAATGAACTCTCTGCTCTTTCCATGTAGGCATCGCTTCCTCCTTGTGGTAGGCAGAAGAATGGCACCCAAGGACGGCTGTGCTCTAATCCCCTGGGGCTGTGAATCCATCACTTGGAATGGCCACAGGAACTGCTCTCCGGATTAGGTAAGAATCTCGAGTTGAGAAGCTGATCCTAGACTCCCCGGGTGGCCCCGTGTCATTACAAGGTGATGACAAGAGAACAAGAGAAGATGTGACAGTGGAAGCAGAGGCTGAAGCAGTGGGATTGCTGGGCCAGTGCAGGTTCTCTAGGAGCTGGGGAAGGCAAGGAGCGAGACTCTCCCAGGGACCTCCACGTTCCCTGCTTCCAGCCCAGTGAGACCTGTCTTGGACTTCTCGCCTCCAAAACTGTGAGAAAATGCAGCTGTATTGATTTAAGATCTTACATTTTTGGGCCAGCACCACAGCTCACTAGGCTAATCCTCCGCCTGCGACGCTGGCACCCCGGATTCTAGTCCCGGTTGGGGCGCCAGATTCTGTCCCGGTTGCCCCTCTTTCAGGCCAGCTCCCTGCTGTGGCCCGGGAGTGCAGTGGAGGATGGCCCAGGTGCTTGGGCCCTGCACCCCATGGGAGAACAGGAGAAGCACCTGGCTCCTGTCTTCGGATCAGCGTGGTGCACTGGCCACAACGCGCTGGCCGTGGCAGCCATTGGAGGGTGAACCAACGGCAAAAGGAAGACCTTTCTCTCTCTCTCTGTCTCTCTCTCTCTCTGTTCACTCTGCCTGTCAAAAAATAAATTAAAAAAAGAGATCTTACATTTTCGAAAATGTGTTATAGCAGCCGTAGGGAACTAAGAATATTTGAGGAAGGCTCCTTGGCCTCTGACCCTCCCTCTCACCCACAATCATAGCCCTCACTGCAGTAGGCAATTGTTTCCTTAGGTGATCATTTGTCATTATTATTTTGACCTTGCTGGACTGGGCCTCAAGAGAATGGGGACCCAGAGGGTGTGCTTACCATGGAGTGCCCAGAGGAGCCCTTGCCCACCATGGGAGCCTGGGGGCTGGCTGTGGGCAGCCTCACCAATGGACCAACTGAACCCAAAACCACAGCTCTGGCCACTAGACTTTTCCAAGCTTTGGTTCCAAATTATGCACCCGTTCACCCCAGTTGAAGTCACATGGCTTGAGTTGCAGGTTTGCCACTTACTAGCTGTGTGACCTTGGGGAATTCCTTTACCTTCCTAAACCTCAGTTCCTTAACCTACGTAATAGGGAGTTAATATAACCATTGCGGATTAAATAAGAAAATTGAAGTAAAGCATCCAGGACCAAACCTGAGCAGAAGAGGTAAGCCAGATGTTAGTTCTCCCACTTTTCCTGACACTGGCATCTACTGGTGTTGTATTGCCCAATGTGGTCATTCTTGATTCCCCTCCTTCCCCTGCCCTACTCCCATCACTTGTCCAACCCGAGCCCGCACTTCTCTCAGCCCTCCAGGACCTGGACAGCTGCAGAAGACTGTGAATCAAATGCAGTTCCCATGATGTGGGGAAAATATCCAATTACAAGGCCGCAACTTACGTGGCTCTGGAGCAAAGAATCTCCTCCTCCTCCTCCTCCTCCTCCTCCTCCTCCTCCTCCTCCTCCTCCTTCTTTTTGACAGGCAGAGTGGACAGTGAGAGAGAGAGAGACAGAGAGAAAGGTCTTCCTTTGCCCTTGGTTCACCCTCTGATGGCCGCTGCAGCTGGCATGCTGCGGCCAGTGCACCACACTGATCCGAAGCCAGGAGCCAGGTGCTTCTCCTGGTCTCCCATGCAGGTGCAGGGCCCAAGTACCTGGACCATCCTCCACTGCACTCCTGGGCCACAGCAGAGAGCTGGACTAGAAGAGGAGCAACCGGGACAGAATCTGGCGCCCCGGCCGGGACTAGAACCCGGTGTGCTGGGCAAAGAATCTTCTAACCTCACAGATTCACTTTTCATTTTTTAAGGTTAATTTATTTATTTGAAAAGCAGAGAGAGAGAGAGAGAGAATCTTCCATCTGCTGGTTTACTCCCCAAATGGCCACAGTGACCAGATTTGGGCTGGTGGGAAGTCAGGAGTCAGTGGCTTCTTCCATGTCTCCATGTGGGTTCAGGGGCCCAAGCATTTGAGACCTCCTCCACTGCTCTCCCAGGCACAGTGGAGTAACTGGGACTTGAACTGGTGCCCATATGAATGCCGGTGCCACAGGTGGTGGCTTTACCCACTAGGCTACAGTGCCAACCTCTCAGGTTCACTTTTTAAGTGCAACTACTCTCTGGCTTCCTCGTGTTCAATATATCTTGTTGAGACAGGTGGGGGGTAAAGACAGAGAAAAGGAGTAGCCATCTTAAAGTGCCTGTCACTTGACCGTGGGCTCAAAGTCAGACCAAGAATCCATTCCTGTTCCCATCTGTCCTTAAATGGGCTTGGCTATATCAGCTGTCTCTGATGGCTTGGATCAAGGGCAAGGAGCCAAAAGTTCCCAGGGACAATCTCACCTGCTAAAGAGAGGTGACACCTGGTCAGAAAGAGTGTGGTCTCTCATTCCATTTTCAGATGCAGAAAGTAAGGCCCATAGAGAAGAAATACAAATCCAACCAGTTAATAGAAGGCAGGGCTGTTTCCCATTGTAAGTTTTTGATTGCAAATGAGGGAAATTGTTGGCTTACAAAAGTTAATTTCTAAGGTCAAATAGCTTCAGGTATGGCTGGATTTGGGAATTTAAGTGATATTTCAAGGATATATTACTACAACTCTGTTATTGATTTCATCGTTTCTCCCTTGATCTTGTCCTCTCCTGCCTTGTATAAGGCCTCTTCACAGGCAGGGAAAATGGCTTACAACTTGAGAACAAAACTCTAAGAGTGACTTCCAGTTTGAGATCCAAATGGAACAGCAACCTTTCTCTCCTGGTGTCCATCCATCAAGTCCTTAGAAAGACTCTGACTGGACCTTCAAGGTCTCACACCCACTCTTTGAACCAATCATAGGGAGTGGGGTGTGAGTAACCGTGATTGGATAGCACTGGCTCCTTTGTCCTGCCCACAGTGGAGGGACACTAAGTCTGGCTTTCACTCCCAAACACCTGGGCTAGAAGGGAGCAGCTCTCCAGTGCAGAGGGAGTGTTGGGCACACTCAACAGAAGTCCTCTTCCTCCACTCCGGGGCACTGGTTAGGAACTTCAGGGGCTGCTCAGCGGGGCAGCCAGGCCCTGCCCAGCACAGTGTAGGGTCCAGCACAGTGCCTGACATGTTTCTGTTGACTGCAGGTATGAAAACTCCATTACCAGCTTGACAGATGCCCCTCTGACCCCAAACCTCGATGTCATTGGTGGTGGTTCTCTGCAAGGCTGGGACCACAGGGTGCAAGGGGACCAGGGGACCACAGGGTGCAAGGTAAAAGGGTGGAGCACCCTACACACTTAGAGGGATCACTGTTTTCCTCATTTTCAGTAGAGGGTGGTTAGTATGCTCTTTAAAATACAGCTACTATGTTTTTTAAAATAAATTATTTAAAACCATTGCATGTACTATTTTTTAAATTAAATAGCACAGAGTGATAGCAAAGAAAAGGTGAAAAGTCTCTTCCCCTCTTTCCATCATTCCCAGAGATGATGCTGTTAGCAGTTTCCCACCAGCCCTTTCAGGAAATTTCCTAATTGGAAGTGTATATCTAATTTTCAAGAACACAAATGGGATCACAATACATATACAAGTATCACCAATTTAACTATATTTAAACCTTTGTTTGCTAAGCTTATTTGTGTGGAAAATTTTTATTAACACCTCTATTAATGATCTAAAAAGCAGCTTGGGAAATACTAAATTTATTCATAAAAAAACTTCTACTATGTGCCTGTGATACAAATATAAATAGAAAAGCTATTTCCATTCAAAGACTCATTGTGTACTAGGGGAATCAGAAGTAAATAAAAGGAAGGGTCGGCGTTGTGGCTTAGTGGGTAAAGCCACTGCCTGCAGTGCTGGCATCCCACATAGGCACTGGTTTGAGTCCCAGCTGCTCCACTTCCAATCCAGCTCTCTGCTATGGCCTGGGTAAGCAGTAGAAGATGGCCCAAGGCATTGGGCCCCTGCACCTGCATGGGAGACCTGGAAGAAGCTTCGGCTTCTGGATTGTCTGGGCACAGCTCCACCATTGCGGCCATCTGGGGAGTGAACCAGCAGATGGAAGACCTCTCTCTCTCTGCCTCTGCCTCTCTGTAACTCTGCCTTTCAAATAAATAAAGAAATCTTTAAAAAAAAAAGTAAATAAAAGGAGACAATAGAATCAATATGTTGTTATGTAAATATACATCGTATGGATAAGATTTCAGAAAACGATTAACTTTGCCCAGAGAGGAAGCAGGACACTTTAAGGAGAGAGTGTTTGGCATTGGGTCCTGGTAAGCAGGAGTTCAGTCAACTGGTTTTATTCCAGGGAGTCAGTGGTCAGTGGGTATTCCAGAAAGAAGAAGTGGCAGGTGCAAGAGCAATGTATGCTAGGGAGTGTCAAGAGCCCAGTGTGGCTGCAAAGCAGGAATCCAGAAAGGCAACTTAAGCCAAGGTAAGGGATCTACAGGCAATTGGCTTTAGTTAATTTTGGTTGATGTGTAGTCACTGAAGTTTTTTCCAAGTAGAGGAGGCATAGTGGAACTTGTGTGTTAGAAAGACCCCAGCATGGAACCTGGATTGGAGGTGTGGTGGGCCCAGAGTCATAGAGAGAAGTTGGGCGTCCATTGCAATGATCTGGGTCTATAAAGATTTCTTGAGGCATTGGCAATGGAGGGAAGGGGACTGGATAAGATATACAACCAGTAGCACTTGGTGACCACTTTGAGATGAGATTTCTAACTGAGCAGCAAGTGAATAGTAGCAGCATTAGGAGAAGACAATACAGGAGGCCTGAAAGTGCTGGCGGCCCTAAGACTAGAGACCTTTTGCTTCTCTGAGCCCATGGAGGAGAATCCTGGGTTTTGAGGCCCATGAGGGGGCAAGTATCTCTCCCTTTTCATCTTTGTAGACTTTCAAGAATAGCCAGGGCAGAATAGTGGACAGAGTCACTGTGTGTTCATTATTTAACAAGTGAGGGATGTGGTGTCCTCATTTTCTAAATGAGCAGAACAAATGGACAAGGATAAAGTGGCTGGAATTAAACCCAAACTCCTACTTGACCCAACAATGCCTGGTATGATCTGGCCCCTAGCTACCTGGGTGACTTTCTCTCCTACTGCCTTCCACCTTGATGAGCCCACTCCAGCCACATCAGCCTGGTGTTGCTCTTCAAGCACCAGATTCATTTCCCCATGAGACTTTGAGGTGACTATTCCCTCTGATGGGTACACCCTTCCCTTATATTTTCAAATAGTTTGCTCCTTTACTTGATGCAGTTTATATAGAAGACTTTCCTGAATGCTCAAAATAGCTCCCCAAACCCACCACAACCCTAACCCTTTATCCCGCTCTACAAGGCATCTTCAAAAAGTTCATGAAAAAATGCACATTATATAAAAACTGCACAGATTTCAAGATATTTCTCAATCCATCCGTTTTCTAAAAACTTTTGGAATTTTCCTTGTATTTTCTTCAGGGCACTTATACCTGAAATTATGTTATGGTCAGTGTTGCTTAGTGATGTGGATATGTTCTGATAAATGCACTATCAGGCAATTCTTTGTTGTGTGGCTATCAGAGAGCACACTCACACAAACCTAAATGGCATCAGTCAGTCACTCAAGGAGACCTCTTGATGTGATTGAGAGATGCAGTAAGCAGATGTGTGAGGCTGCTGCTGGCAAAACACAGCAGACTTGTTTACAGCAAACTTCTTTTTTATAAGAAGGAATACACTCTACAATGATGATGAAAAGGATAGTGTAGTAAATACATAAACCAGTAACATAGTTATTATTGTCACGATTATCGAGTATGATGTACTGTACATAATTGCTTTGCTGCACTTTTATACGACTGGCAGTTCAGGAGAGTGTCCATGCTAGCTTCACTGCACACATACAAGAGTAATGTGTTATACAAGGATGTCCTGACATTTATAATGTTGCTAGGTGATGCCAATTTTTCAGCTCTATTATAATCTTTTGGGTGCACCACCAAATATATGGTCCATCACTGGCGAGGTGTTGTTATGTGGTGCATGACTGTAAATGTTCACCACTTAATTATCTCTCACTGAGCTCTGTGAGGACCTCATCGCTCTTGTTTCTGCTGTATTTCTGGGGCTGGAACACAATGTGGCACCTATAAAGAGCACAGTGAAAATGTTAACAAGTGAGTGGGCATATTGATCATGATGGCCTTGAAAAATTCTTTTGTTGAGTCTTTTTTTCATACTGCTCACAGTGCTTTATGTTCATATGTCTCCATGTATTTGTAAAGTTGGATGAAGGTCAAATTCTGCTACTAAAAAAAAATAAACAAAGCATATAAGTTTGCTTTAGCCACCTGCATGCTTGTTGCTGTTTCTTGTTATTCCCAAATAGCTCCTTTTCTTTTGGTTCTATAGGAAATGCCTCAAGATTTTATCAAAGAGACCTGGCCCAGCAGCCTGGCATTTTCTTCAGTGAAACCCATCCTGGAATCTCTGAGAGGCGGCTGAGGAAGAGAGGGAAGGGAAAGTGAGTTGTTTGCCTTTGCTTAGCTCTGGCCATTGGCCAAAAGTCCAGCTCTCAAACAGCTGGATACTGGCATTTGTCTTAAAATTCATCTTTGTCAACACTGCTGCTGTCCTCGGTCTCTCATTTCCATTTTCATAATCTTCCCTGCTTTCCATAAGCCCTTGACCTCTTCTGATCTGTCTCAGTCTATAAATCTACCTAAGTATTACTTAGACTGGCTTGTCACTCTTGCTAATTCCCAGTTTTGTCAAACTTGGGCAGGTGTTTGGCAGCAATTCCCTGTATAATCTATGAGACAGATCCTTCTGGAGTAATGTCGCTGAGAGGTCATAATGCATGTTTGGGGTTGGCTTGACTTGTGGGACTTTGACTCTTCTACTTTCTACCTCTGTGATGTTGGCTAAATATTCTCTTTGATTCCAGTTCTTATCAAAGGGTCATTTTTAAAAACATGATTTTCTTTTTTTTTTTTTTTTTTTTTTTACAGGCAGAGTGGACAGTGAGAGAGAGAGACAGAGAGAAAGGTCTTCCTTTTGCCGTTGGTTCACCCTCCAATGGCCGCCGCGGCCGGCGCGCTGCGGCCGGCGCACCGCGCTGATCCGATGGCAGGAGCCAGGAGCCAGGTGCTTTTCCTGGTCTCCCATGGGGTGCAGGGCCCAAGCACCTGGGCCATCCTCCACTGCACTCCCGGGCCACAGCAGAGGGCTGGCCTGGAAGAGGGGCAACCGGGACAGAATCCGGTGCCCCGACCGGGACTAGAACCCGGTGTGCCGGCGCCGCTAGGCGGAGGATTAGCCTAGTGAGCCGCGGCGCCGGCCTAAAAACATGATTTTCATCCAGCTGTACAGTGAGTAAGTATAAAAGGCTTATTTAACTCACTAAGGAAGAAATCTGCAGGGTATCAATGCTAGCTTGAAGAACATTCAGAAACATCTTTATCCAAGATTTTTAGTCTGCTAGGAAAGAAGTGCCACAATAAAATCACTAAGTGATATGTAAAATTGGTGAATGCCATAAAGGACAACAAAACTGTGATCTTAGGTGCTATTTTTTATGTTTTTACTGGACAGAGATGATTTGCCTCTCTACTGAAGAAAATTATTTACAGCTTGTCAACTTTCTTAAATTAGGATAGAAATTTGCATAGTCTAGGCCCTAATTAATAACAAATAGTAAATAGTTACAGTTACATTTTCTTAGAGAATTAAGCAGACCTGGGGATATCTGTTAGACAATGCTCCAATAAGGTATTAGATGACATGCAACATTCTTCACCTCTTTACAGCTGTTGAATAATTTTCTTAACAGCTTTCATATACAAAATAGGACACCTGCAAGATGCATTGCAGAAGATGGAGGATCTAGTATATCAAGCCATATATGAGGCTGTTCTTCCTTTGTCCCTAGACTAATAGTCTACCAAGATATTGCTGCTCTTAATTCCTATTATGTATCAATAGCATCATGGGGCAAGGAGGTCTCCCTCTTCCAAGCTTCAAAGTTGTGAAGACACCAATCTCTTCCCTTTGTTGATCCTGCCTGAGGCCTTGGCTGATTCTATTCTGACTGTTACAGGTGGAGAAGGGGTGTACGTGTCCTCACATTCCTGAAAATAAGGAAGTTTTCTGTTGAAAACATGGCACAGCTTATAAAATTATGTCAGTTACTACATTCAGAATTGTTACTTTTATCACTTCTGTAAGGTATTGTTGATTTTTTTCTACAAACAATGCATTACCAAAGCAGTTTACATACATTCTCTCATTTAATTCTCAAAGATATACACTATTTATTACTCTTATCCTCACTTAAAAGAAGAAGAAACTGAAATCCAAATAGGTTAAGCAGCTCCCCCAAGATCTGATTAGCAAGTGGTGGGTCTGGGATTCAAACCCACAACACCTGAATCTACTCTGCTTCACTTCTGCATGCACCTTGAGTCCTATTTGTTTTGCAACTGTGTTTTTAAAAAGTCAAACTGTTTGTTCATTACATTGGAAACTAATATAAAGAAAACCTGTGAGGGTTAGGAACATTGGACAAATGTCATTAGGGTCCCAGACCCGGTAGAAGACACAATGTCCTTTCACACTGGATTATTCAGGACCACGGACAGCGACCTCACCACTTCAACCAACAGCACAACTACCAGACCCGGTGGCAATACCAAACACATTTCCTGCGGTGCAGGCAGCCCTATATTGCTCAGGTTGTGCCCTACTGGCAGGCACTTGGTTAAGGGGTTTCAGAAGGGCTGTGATGTTGTCAAATTCTGCCACTAGTTACGGGGCTATGACTCCCTTGGAGAAGGGCACTGCTTTAAAGTTTTATCATAGAAGCTGAGTGGGCTGTGAGTGATCCTGTTACTACAGGTAATGATCAAAAAGTTTGAAACTGACCCTAGAGGTTGATACTTGCAAATTATACTTAACTGGAGTGAGATCCACATGGCCAAGTTTTGGTGAGACCAGGAGAGAGGGATAATATTTGGGGAATTTGGAAGGCAAATAGAAGAGAATGCCATGGAAAGTAGGAGGTGTTTAATGAAGAGGTTAAGAGAATATGCTGCTTCGTGGAAGCAAATTTCTTAGACTTACGATTTTGCCAAAGGTTGGCTTCAACCTTAGATGATTAAGATGAGAATATACAACACACAGACTTGTGTTAAATTCCTGGCCCCATAATTGCTAAACTGAACTTGAAGGCAAAAGTTGTATTTAATTCATCTTTGTACACTTTAGTTCTGAGCACATGTCACAAAGTCACTGTATGTTCAGTTGAACTTTTCGCAGATTCTGCGCAATCCTGGACCAGTCCTTCCAGAAATGTCTGAAACTTTCCACACCTGCAGAATGGCATCTGGTTTTCTTCACAGGGTTATTATGACGATCAATAAAATAATCAAGAGTATGAGCTTTATAAAGCTCAAAGTGCTAAATAGCAATTATTAGTTGTATGTTTGTTATGAACCTCATTAACTGGCCTATATTATTTACGGAGATGAGAATATACTCTGGAATTCATTGAATTCATTGGAAAAAGGGAGTGCATTAAAAAGTCTGTTACTGGGCTGGCGCTGTGGTGCAGCGGGTTAAAGCCCTGGCCTGAAGCACTGGCATCTCATATGGGCACTGGTTCTAGTCCTAGCTGCTCCTCTTCCAATCCAGCTCTCTGCTGTGGCCTGGATCCTTGGGCCCCTGCATCCACATGGGAAACCAGGAGGAAGCTCCTGGCTCCTGGCTTCAGAGTGGCGTAGCTCCAGCCATTGTAGCCATCTGGGGAGTGAACCAGCAGATGGAAGACCTCTTTCTCTCTCTCTTTTTTTTTTTAACTTTTATTTAATGAATATAAATTTATAAATTTCCAAAGTACAGCTTATGGATTACAATGGCTTCCCCCCCATAAAGTCCCTCCCACCCACAACCCTCCCCTTTCCCACTCCCTCTCCCCTTCCATTCACATCAAGATTCATTTTCAATTCTCTTTATATACAGAAGATCAGTTTAGCATACATTAAGTAAAGATTTCAACAGTTTGCTCCCACACAAGAAAACGTAAAAGTGAAAAATACTGTTTTGAGTCCCTAGCTATAGCCATTAAATTCTCAATTCTCCTCTCTCCTCTAAGCTTTGTCTTTTCAAATTAAATAAAATTAATCTTTAAATGACATTAAAAAAGTCTGCCACTAAAAATGCTATGTGTTAATTATAATTCTATATGGAATGAGGATTCTTGAGACATGTTTATAAATGACACGGTATAGACACATTCTGCTTCATAAACAGTTTGTCTAACTCAGTAAATATAACCTATATACTTTTAGAGTAAAAGTTTTCTCCTCCTGAATGTTTATCTGTTTGAAAAGTTACAAGTTGACACTTCTTTAAAATCAAGCATTCAAAACAAACCCATAAACTCCACCAGAGGATACAACCCCTTGATCTCAAAAACCAGGCCAAGACATTAGCAGGATGAGAAAGTTATTTCAAAGCTGTGTGGTAATGGTGAGACTCTGGTAGCTGATGAGGAAATAAGAAGGGAGAGAGGGAGGGTGTGAGAGGGAGAACAATCAGAAAAGATCAAAAGCTTCCCAAGACTAAGGAAATTTGGAAACTTTTCCATTTCAGGACACCTGCTGTTTAAGACTAAAATATCCACTTTGAGGCTTTAAATAGATGAGCACCAAAGTGACACCACTGATGTCACTCTGGAAAACATCCATCCATTAGGGTGATTTTTTCACAGCATTCTTTCCGAAGATGTAAATGCTATTTGTTTCAAAGCAGGAAAGGAATGACACCACTCCAAGTCACACTTCTCCAGCTATTCTTTTTACAGCATAAATTAATGATCTCACGGTTTGCACTGACAGATCCTCAAAGGTGTTTAATCAGCTGTCTCTGACAAAACACAGCGATTTTCAGGCTGGCACATTTACAAATAAAGAAAAAACAGCCTGTAATCCCTCATAAAGTGGAGCTATGGTTCTGCTCCATTTGACGACATGACAATCTTCTGGGCACCTCCTCATGAATGCATAAGTAGGGCACAGCTTGGGAAGTTCGGGTTCATGCAGAGCATAAATATTGCATGGGATATATTAGCCAGGCCCCCCAGGGAAGGGCATCTCAACCTTCCTAACCCAGTTGAAAGAAGGCACAGGGAGACAGGATAGCCAAAGCAAGAAATCACCTGTTGGCTACTGATGAGTCTAGGTCATGCAGGAAGAAAGTATTTATTCTAGTAGAGGAGTCAGGGGCGGGAGAGTGGAGGTAACACAAACAGCATTCCACTGAATTGAGGTGAATCTCTGCCTGCTAAGGACACAGAATTATTTTACCTCTTTGGAAGCAAAAGGATGTAAATGCTAACATGCATAACGTTGCCCCGAGTTGGCTTAGATAGTATCAGTGGTCTATGCACCAATGCAACAGTGTGGAACGTTCACTGTGTGCCAGCAATGCGAGGGACTGTGGAGCCAAAGGCCATGACGATTCTATTGGCATGGAGGAGCTCACAGTCTCAGTGGGGAAGGGCAGAGTCAGGGGTCTTGGTGCTAACAGAACACACTTCTGGCTAATTTAAATAGAGAATGGATTTATGAAGAGGGCATTGGCTGGCAAATGCATAAGCAATGTGTGGTGCCTCCATATAATGGAATAGTATTCAGTAATAATAAGGAACAAACTATGGATACATGCAATGACATGGATGGTCCTAAAAGAAAGAAACATTGTGGGATAAACCAGATCAAAAAGAACACATAGAGAATTTGATTTCATTGATATCAAATTCCTAGAAAAATCAGAGAGTCGGGAGGTAGATCATGGTTGCTTGAGATAAGAGACACGAATGGGGCTTGACAGCAAGTGGATGAGAGTAAATGTGGGGGGTTGATAGATTTCAGATCTTCCTGCTTCTCACTATAGAGAAGGGAAGAATTTTCTCCTGTCTCTGAAATAATCCCGTGCCTCATTGCCTTTTATAGCTCAATTCCCTGGCCCCTGGCTTCTGTTGGATAGTGTTGGTGGGCAGTGGGAAAGAACTGAGTTCATGTAGGAGCCCGTTAAGTTTGAGACGTCCATGGGTCATCTAGGTGGAGATGTCCACCAGGCAGAATTTGAGAGGGGTGTCATCCACTGGTCTACTGGCAAATTGCTCTCTGAAGAAATTCCCCATGACCTCCATGGCTCAATATGGTGACCAAGGCTGCTTTCAGGTTGCAAATAGATTAAAAATAAGATTGTACATCTCCTCCATATTTAACAATCAGCTCTCCTAGGTACTTATAAGCCAGTTCCAGCTCAGCACTATAAGTTGAGAATACATAGATATATAGACATAGACATAGACATAGATATAGATGTATATGATTCAATGATGGCAGATAAAACCTTGACAGTATTGAAGATGGTGTGGGTGTGGCATAAAAGAGGGAAGAGTGATATAGACCCAACTCCTCAGCATCCTGCATCTCCCTCACCTTCTCCCTGTAGCACAGGACTATATCTGAGGGATGAAAGCAAGCAAGAATCCATTGAATTTGAGCTCATCATCAGGAAAAAAACAGGTTACTCCATGAGAGTCAAAGTTCTAAAGAGCCAATATCTGGGGTGGGCATTTTGTGCAGTGGTCAAGACACCCTTGGGATGCCCACATCCTGTGTTGGAGTCTCTGAGTTCAAGTCCTGGCTCCACTATTGATTCTAGCTTCCTAGTACTATGCAGCCCAGGAGGCAGCAGGTGATGGTTCTAGTACTTATGTCCCTGCCACCCACATAGATAGACCCAGATTGGGTTCTGGGCTTCTGATTTGAGCTGGTTCAGCCCCAGCTGTTGTGGACATTTGGTAAGTAAATCTGATAATGGGAGATCTCTCTCTCTCTCTCTCTCTCTCTCTCTCTCTCTCTCTCTCCCCTTTCAGATAAATACAATAAATTTTAAAATTTTTTTCAAAGCCAACCTCAAACAGTGAGAATACCCATTTGCAGAAGTTACCAACCTCAAGGCACTGTTTGTGAATGTACTACCTAGGAGGCCTGGAAAAAAGCAGTCCAAGTAGGGAGATGTGGGAACATCATCGGGACCTGCACATCCTTGGGGCAGGCAGCCACACAACAGTGAGATGGCAGCTGGGCAGGCTGAAGGAGGGACACCCTGAGGGCAGGGCTTCCTGAAGGTCTGGCACAAAAGAGAGTGAAGACAGCATCTTCGTCCACCAGGCCGGTGTTAGCTGACCTTTATCCTCTCAGTGGAGGCCGTGACTTTGGGCTGTAGAGTGGCTTTATCATCATTCTCCTTGAAGACCAGCTGACTCCCTGTGCACGCATTTGCTCCCCCTCTGAGCTTTCACACAGACCTACAGCGTTCCCTGCAGTGGAAAGTGTTCACAATCTAGGCTATGTGTAGGGAGGCATATCTCCTCTCATTGGCACTCCAGTTTGTCAGTTGGTAGGGATCTTGTGAGATAGGTGGAATCAATTTCTGCTGAGTTTAGTAAACTCTGGATTAACTATCCCTACCATCACTATGACTTCTACTACAGCTAAGCATTTGGGTATCATAAGTAGGACAACACGCTGAACCCAGAACTTCTCGGATCTTAATTTATCTTTATGACAACCTTACAAGATAGGAATTGCCAACCCTATTTACAGATTTGGAAAGAGAGGCCCAATGAGTTTAAGTAACTTGGATTCTCTGAAAATGCAATCCCAAGGATAAGACTGTGGGTCATGAGACTCCACCGGCATCAACTCAAGGGCTTGCTAGAGCAGCGAGTGCAGCTAAAATTCTGTTTGTTCACATCGCGTTTTGAAAGCAGCAGGTGCTATTGCTCTGGGCCTGGACAGGTAGCTCTGTGGCCTCCCTCAGGGAGAGCATTCACGGAGACAAAGGAGGGAGAGGATAAGGGACAAGTGGTGAGATTCTGAAAAGCCGAATGGTTTCTTGGTGGTAAGGATTGCTCGGTGTTTAAGCAGAGCGCCCCCAGCTCTCTTCCTTTAGCCATGGACAGCATAGGCCAGCTCCTTCAGGGACCTCTGCCTCCCAAGCTGTCTGAGATGTGTTATCACATTAGGGCCATTGGGAGGGCATCTGTCTTTCTTCAGGGTTAAGACGTGCTGACATCCTGGCAGCAAAGCAATTGGACTAACCAAGTCCCAAGCCTCCATGGCAGTCAGGAGGCAGGCCCGGTCCTGGCAAGCCTTGTTCTCATCAATAATAACAGCAGCAGGGATTATAATAACAATGACTGCAAGAAGAAAAAGAGAAGCCACCATTCATGGGACAACACAAACCAAGTGCCAGGCTCCATGGCATTCTCACTAAGCTGACAGCTCATCCAAGAAGCCATGGGCACCTAGGATGTCCCAGACAGGGCAGGAAAAAGATGAATTTGGTGGTTTCTTTTCTTCATGACTTGTGATTGCCTCCAAGTGATTATCCTAGGAATTTTCCTATCATGCTGACGAAGCATCAAGGAAGAATGCTGCAGACATTCAGGGAGAACGCCAAGAGGTCACCTGGAGGGCACGGCAGCCAATAAGTCAGAGAGAGGAGGCGCGTGGCTGCACCAGCGGGCACCCTAATTGCATTAGCTCCTTGGCCTGGTTCACGCCTGGCCGGTGTGGCGGGCCAGGAGTTGAGAGGCCTGATTGAATTCCAGCCAAGATGATGCCCTCTCTCTCCCCGTGACAAAGCCAGCAGACACGAGTAGAGCTTCAGTCTTCTTCTCTCCCACCAAAAAGCCATTAATTGTCTTCAAGGACAACCCGGCACTGGCCCAGGTACAATATTCAGTGAGGGTCACACACACTTGGTTCCCCACC